TTGATTTGCAAAACCTACACTAATTGAAGAATGCTGACAACCAGAAAAGGTGTAATGAATCTCTTGCAAGGCAGTAAGGGAAAGAAGAAGTGTCCATTCCTACAGACTGTCGTATGTTGTCAGTCAGAGAGGTTGGTCAGAATTAGAGAGGGAAACAGCTCCAGAGTCACAGGAGCTCTTGTCTGGTCTGAGTGACAGACAGCTGCCTGAGCTCTGATTGATAGATGCTATCTGAGCCTCTGACACCTAGGTGGAGAAAACAGTGATGAAGATATGAGAAGAAGCTCTTACAAAAAAGTTATGGCCTAAATACCTTGGTCAATCACTGTTGGTAGTCAAAATGGATGCATCTCTATTATAAAACATCACCTCTTCGAACTTCCTGGCTTTGTACTGCTCTGCCCCTTTCAAGCAGTTCAGCAAGATAACATCACAGAGAACTGCAGCCTGCCAACACAGATGAGAGAGCGTTATGACATTAACAACAGAAATCCTTGTTTTGTGTTTTTTTATCATCTTCTGCCTGATCAGAGCCTCCTACCAGTCCAACAGAGGTGAAGGCTGCTACCAAGTTGATCATTGTTGGGATTGTATTAAACTTTCCTGCCTGGAAAGACGACCAGAAAAAGATGGAGTCAGTTAAGATGACATAACATACAGGCCCAGAATGTTTACATTTAATTTAAGTAAAGGTTAAATGTGAATGTTTAAAACAGTGTTCTGCACAAGTCTTTGTTGAAAGCCCATACATTTTTAAAGACGATGACTTCAATATGCTAAAGAACATTTTGAAATTCTGCAAAATAGTTGCAGTTTTGCTGAGAGTTAGATGAGAAGGGCATAACAGTCTCATGTTTGTGTGCTGAAAATTAAGCTCCGGCACTATTAAGACTGAAAAAGTCAAAATTATAAGTTGTGGTGTTAAAGCTACTGAGACCTACTTTAAATGTACACAAACACACACAAACAAATTCACAGGTGCCACATTTTCAGACAACTCACAATGCCAGTGACTATAACATCAAAGCGGATGGCAAAAACTTTGTAAAGTGTCCGAAATTCAGTCCCATTCTCTCCTTTGAAATATTTGGCAAATCTGCAGTGAAAGAAAAGAAAAAAATGTCAAGAAAAATAAACATGAGTAGACAACAGAAGGAAATTTCAGCCTCGGTACCTGAAGTTGTAGCCTTTGGAGACTGAATTGTTGGCAAATGGTGCGTCCAGTCGTGTGAAAGTGTACTTGGGTAAGCAATACGTAATGTCCAGGTCCAGGTTACACTTCCACTCAATGATTATTCCTATTTCTCCCCCCTGAGAGAGAAGGATCAGAAAAAGAGAAACACACATTGAGGCTGTAGTTCCTGTGCAGTCTCAACATTTCAGCCTTGGGGATGAGGACTGCAGAACATTTTGAGGAGGAGAAGGAGGAAGAAGAGAATACAGGACAGGTAAGACCTTTTTAGCCAGCGTAGACACATCTGAAGGAGGAAGAAGAGAATACAGGACAGATAAGACCTCAATAGCCAGCGTAGACACATTCTGCCCGGTGTAGTTCAGCACGTCCCCCACACGAAATATGGGGCATAAGGGGTAAGTCTCCGGATGGTAAGTACAGTTCTCGATCTCTTTGGACGTCATTGTGGGGGGAATGTTCCCTCTGGGAGAGAAAGATTTCATGTTTATGACAAAAAAACCTTTTGCCATAACATTTTCAGCTGCTTATGTTCAAGTGTGTGTATACTGTATATGTGTGTGACCTACCTTGTGACACCGAAGCGCGGAAAGCGAATACTGTTTTTGATGAAGATGGTGAAGTTTTTCACATCCATTGGATCACTGAGGAGGATGTTGACAGAACAAGAGCGGTGTGGATGAAAATTAATGCCTTCAATGAGATCAAAACTGTCTGTTGCACATGCATATCTGTGTGTATGTGTGTGTGTGTGTGTGTGTGTGTGTGTGTGTGTGTAAATCTTACACTGTAACCTTGTCATTCTCGGCTGGACACCATCCTTCGATCTCACAGAAACCTGCTGAGTCATTGGAGGGTTTAAGGCAAACACCTGTTATTACTCCTGGTGTGTGAGATGGAGAAGGAGAAGAAACATGTTGAATAGGATATTCTCTGGTCACTTAAAGGGATACACTCATCATTTTTGAACTGATCTGGTTTTGGATCTAACATGACATCACTTGTAGTGTGTGGCTGTGAAATGATGCACCTTACTTTTTGTTTTTTAGCTCATACTTTGCTGCTCTGACATCACTTTTTTTTTCATGATACCCCTCCTTCGCTTCTACTAATCGGCCAAACAAATTTGTACTGGTCATCAGAATCACAATTACTGGGACGAGCAGTCGCTCAGCATCAGTGCACCACTAGACTGAAGGACTGAAGTAACTTACATCTTCTAACAGGCACAGCTTTGGGGAAAGAAGGCCACTGATGCATCAGCTGATACTGCGTGTTCAAGAGCGCCCAGTATCAGCTGAATTTACTGCATGTTAAACTGATTCAGCACTTCACCTCTGCAGGATTAGTATTGGTTAGGTATATAGAGTGTCCTTGAAATATAACATTTCAACATATACATTTCATATATAACATTGTTTATCTTTGATAATGATGTGAACGTTTTTCTTTACAGAAGTTAGACCTACCACTGCCGAAGATAGAACCAAGATGCTTGATGCAGTCTTCATCTGTGGTGCACTTAAACTTCTGTTCAGACTAAAACAAACACACAGAAACTTAAAATGTCATGTCAACATGGATTTACTGTAGAGCTTTTAAGGACAAAATGATTACTAAACACTTCAACAGTACACACGGGAACAGAGAGGCAGCTAAGCAAATAATTTAGAAGATATGTTCCCATGTTTTGTTCCACAGTTCCACAGCTTAAATCAACCCTTCTACAGATTCACTGGCTAAATCCCTATTCCCTTAACTGCATTCATGTTTTCCTCACTTGTGTTTTTTCTTTGTGTCCGGCTCACATAAGATGAAAGAAGAAAATGTGAAGAGAGAGGAATTGAGGAAACGCGACATGAGATGTCCATGAGATTTCCTCCAGTCACCAATTGATTTCTAATAAAATGGCATCAGTCCATAAAAGACTAAAAAGGATGCTCTTGTGTATCCTCAGTCATGGCTCCTGCAGGCAGCTTCCTTACACCTCAGAGCAGGAATAAAAGTTTGGGATGTCCTTCAAGATGGTGGATTAGAGTGACCTCTAGGTCAAGTGAGGATCAAGGAACAATCAAATAAAGAAAATGAGATTCATCCAATTCTGTCTTTCAAGTTCCCTGAGGGCTCTGATTTGAAGCACCTATCCTTGTCAGTATAAATATCAGTTGTGTGACTATTGGACTTACCCAGATGGAGACAGTTTGCCATGTCAGTCTTCACAAGATGAAATAAATGGTTGAGTTATGAATGTGCAGCATTCCCATTCTTTCTTTGATAGCTGCCAGAAACTCACTAGAATAGGTCTGTGCAATTTATTATTTATATTGAAAAGCGATATAATAAATACAGTAAAATGAAATCATTTGCAAAACTGCCTGCAAATGAAATGAAGATGCACTCTGGTTCAAAGGAAACTAACAATTCAAGGGAACGAACAGAAGGAGCCGACCTGTAAAGTGCTTCAGACGTAGTTAATAAAACCACCAGATTCATTGAGACTGATTGATCAATGAAAAGAGGAAAAACAAGCAGAGATTATAAATGTGTCCTCACTTCTGCACATCTTCCTTGGAACTGATTTTTGGTGACGATGAGTTTGGTCGCAATGCAGAACACACCTGTACCCTGAAACACAGCAGGACACGTACGGTTAATGCATGTTTGCATATACAAAGGTCAAAATGTGCCTCATAGCACAGAAAAATTTATCAATCTGTAAACTGGCAGCTTGATCATCATAAAGACACATAGCTACAGCTACATCGGGTGAAGCCGAACCATTTTACACTGCAAGAAGATAGTGGTAGTACCTGAGGTCAAAGTCATGCTTATGTTTGTGTGGGTGTTAACTATTTGTTTTCAGGGTCACACACCTGTGGGGGGAAGATGTAGTCAGCCACATCCATCACATTGCTCTCATGGTAACTGAAGCCTTTTACTTTGGTCACCACAGAGGACTCGATGCCAGTGTCGGTCACCTGATAAGCTTTCTCATGGATGAAGACCCAGCTGCGGGACAGAGACACAACACAGCAGGTTCAAGAGTTCATTTAAGAAGTTAAGATTAAAGTCTCATTTCTGGACATAATTAAATCGAAGCGTGAAAGGTAGCTAGAGGTAAGCATCACATGAACTGAAAAAACCCAGACAGTGGTTTTACACTTACCACTGTGCTGAAGGCATTACCACAAGCCTATTTTACCAGTCTGGAAAAAAATATTCTATTTTTTGCATAATAAAAATTTTTTACCCAGTTTTTAAATTGCAATGTGCTGAACTCCCAGATATTTCCAGCATGCCAGACATGACTTACTGTATGTCTGGGTTCTTTTAGCACATCAAAAATATTAACACATTACTTTGTTTACCATAACAAATCTGGACAGCTGGGTATATGTCTAAACTGAGCGTGGCAAAGCTACATGCCATTTCTGGCTACCATCTTTCTTTGGCTTTGAGTTTTTTTCAGTCACCAATTATGTTATTTTTTCTTCTTCTTTTTGGACAACTAAATGCTTAACTGTGGCTTGAATGTAATGGTAATACAAGACAGGCACCAGTAGGGGCTAGAACTGAGTTTAATCACCACCATTTCATTTGATTGAGTTGTCCCCAGTTACGTTTCAACTGGGGACCTTCCTTGCTCCCTCTCCCAATGTTTCCATTGTATCTCTACCCAGATTAATAATCTTTTATCACAGATTTTGCTCAGCACTTAATTAACCAGACTCTCTACTTATGAAAAAAATGTTATTTATATTTTAGTGAACATTTGCTTTTAATGCTACTTTATACTTTTACATCACTACATTTTACTTCTGTTTGACTGTCGGAGTTGAAGTTTTTACACTCAAAGCTTATGAATAGTATGTAAAATATGATGCATTGTTAATATAATAAAAATAATATGTTCACATGTTTATCAATGAGTAATAATCTTCAGATAATTTGAACTAGTCATACACTAAGTACTTTTACTTCTGATAGTTCAATAAATTTACTGATAACGGGAAAGTATGATTATTATTGAAGCACAATTTTGAATGCAGGACATTTCTACTTGTTTATTTAGCATTTCTACACTGTGGAATTGCTATTCTTATTCATACAAAGGATTTGAGCTGTTCTGCAGTAAGGTGTAATTTCACTTGAGAAGTATAAGGGACATTTTAATGCTAAACACCACTGGTAAATTAGCAGTTTCACAGTTTTTACAGGAACAATTTCCTATGCATAAAATACTTTTGGGGAAACTGTTCACAAAGTGTTTCATTTATTATCAAAGGTAATGTGGATATTTTTCCTGATGCAAGTTTCTATTGAGTTTGTGGAATTTTATTTAAATGAATTCCCATCACCTCTACTGTATTGGCATGGCTTTCAGTCTTTGAAGACCTTGACAAACCAAACCAAAATGGCTGTATACCATTTTAGATAAGTGGGAAAATGTCTGTTTATAAATTTAATTTGGATAAACAGATCCTTTAACAAGAGAAACCTCTGAGCTTCTTGACATATAATCAAACAAGCATGGACAGAGACTAAGAAGTCACACACATGCACACACAGCACTGACCCGACAAAATATGCGATGATGAGCAGCTGTACAATCCGGTTGATGATGCCCACAGACCAGCTCTTGACCACCACAGACTTGGTGGTCTCATAAGTGAAGAAGTTGGTGACGAAGCCCCACGCCATGAAGCCCATGGCGGCTTGTCAGTGCTCTGCTTGAGTCTGAAATAAAAATGCAACTCCTGTCCAGCCTCAACAGATGCCTTCTGAGAAGTGTGGTATAAATGTGTTTGAAAGTCAAGAAGCTCACTTCTGATTCTAATGAAGGAACTGTGGACTTCACACTGGTCCCGTCTTTCACTCCTTGGTGTGGCCTGTGTTCTTGTGCTTCATTGTATATTTGATGGTTAAACCTCACCGTCTGTCTCATCTCCCTCACTGTCCTGGTTTCATTGGTTTCTAACACAAACCGGACCTCCCCTTCCTCTACTCAAATGAGTGAATAAAGTGTGAAAGTGTCTCTTCTGTCCCTCCCTCTTTCACATTTTGCCACAGCTCCCTGTGGGATTGCCTCTTTTATCTCATCATCTCTAGCTTATCCCAGTTATACTCAAAAACACACTAATGACACACAGGGAATTGTCAAAATGTACCAATCAATATCCCAACTCCAGACATTTCTGAAACCCTTTTAGTGATGCTTTCATCTCAAGCAACTCATTCACCTTCATTCATATTTCAGTGTTAGTGACTCACAGGGAATCAACTCACAAACCTTCCATTGTCCCTTAAAGTACCATAAAAGACACACTATCAAATGCAGTTTAATAGCAAGATGCAAAATAATGGCTAGGGTTATGCACTGACTTACCTGGTTGTTTAAACTGTTATATAAATGAGGCAGAGTTCATCAAATGGTTAGTTTGCCAGTTCACCTCAGTCAGATATGACAAAGGCATTGTAAGGATATTTACTTAAACAAGATACACAGTACTATATCAGCTGAGTCCTTCGTGTGACCTCCAATAGAGATCTAGCCATTTTATGAGTCATGACCCTGTGATCATGAGTCCTTTATGAGTCCTGTTGGATTTTTATTGTTTAAAAATCTGCCTTAGCTCTTAGTGTATTCCTTCACAAAGTGGAATAGTACGTTTCTCTTAATGATATTTTTAAAGCAAGCACTCCTTCTTTGGCTCTAAAATCTGGCTGTTCTTTTAATCAGCTCTATGACCAGCTATGATCAGTTCTACAGTTAAGCCTGTGACAGTTCAGACTGATATACACTGTAGGTTATATCCATCAATATTGGTGATGTTACGTTTGCAAACAAACTGATTCTATTCATCGGCTTGTTGGTAGGAATGAAGGAATCTGAGTCGCCCGTGAGAGAGGTTCTTTTTTATCTTTTGCCCAGATTTCCAGAAGGGCTGAGTTCCAAATGGCCCCTCGCCAAATTTCACTGCCTGCGTCCAGAGAGTTGAAAGAGAGCAGCGGTGGTTGAGCATGAATGATGAGAGGGAGCAGCGCTAACAAAACGAAGCAGTGAATCAGAAAATAAAACCTTATTTTGTAATTGTTTCACTTTAGTTATATTTTAAGACATAAATAAGCATGAGCAAACATCTACAGGAAGGATTTTATGTGAATGCATTCAACTCCTGTCTGCTGTGCTGTAACCTCTGCCCTGCACCTTGTGTTTAAACGTTGCCCTCGATCAAACAAAGACTGAAAGTGGATACACTTCAACAGTTAATTACACCACATTTGTAAAAAACTTTCATAGAGCAGTTCTTTACAACAGCTCTATGAAAGGAACAGAGCCATAAGAACTGGCTCCGTTCAAAGAGCCACTGTCCCCTCCACTAGCCAATATTAGCTTGTTGCTAATATTGATAAGTAACATATAATTTTAAAAATGAAAAACAGCAATAAATGTTGTAGGAACTGCGTGATTACAGTTTGTCCACTACACAGCACAGACTAGTTTATTTTTAAACTGTAAAATCTGCTGCTCAGAACACATTTCATATTCAAGAGATTTGTGAAAATATCACATTGGAACTTTTAATCCATATCAACCTTTTCAGATCATATTTCACAACTTTAGACTCAGAAAGAGGGTTTGGTTTTTGTGCCAAGTCATTTAAGTTTCTTTTATGGTGTGGGACAAGATAATGTTTCTATATTTTCATATATATTTCGTTTCATGTAAAAATGCCATGTTTTACAAATACATGTAGGTATAGAAGAGGATTGGGGCCACTGCATAAAATTTATATGAACTCTTGACTTTAATCTCAGAATTCTAACTTTGAAGTCAGAGTTCAAATAAATTTTATGCCGTGGCCCCAATCCTCTTCCGTATGGAGGCTATACTGTATATATGTTTTGGTGGAAAGTTACTAAATGCATCTGAAGACTCTTGAACAACAACAAGGAGGGTTTCTCACTTTTCACACTATATACCAACCAGACTGAAGCAAATCATGACCAAGTTAAACTGACATGCATTTAGTTCATTGAAAGTAACTGAAAATGTCATAACTTTAAATATGGCCGCTGAGACAAATCCAAATTTTCAGTAAGTCTCCACTAAACATGATTTTGCTCTCTTCGTTAAATCAAACATACAGAAAGAAGCTATTTGATTCCATACTACAGGCCCATGTAAGAGGCTTGAGTGTGAATGCGTGAGTGCTTGGGAGTGCGAATGGGTGAATGGCCGAATAATGTGAAAGCGCTTTGAGTGTGCTGTAAAAGCATAGAAAGGCGCTTTACAAGTATAAGACCATTTGAGTCTGAAAGCACTCTAATAAACTACAAACTGTGCCATTACTGACCACTGTGCAATAATTGCAACATACGATATGATGCACCAGCAGCATTACTGTCTCTCAAATCAAAGAGATAATGTATTGAGGCAACGACAGAATGTGTGTGTAGATATATGTGCCTAGAGACTACAGCATGTCAACTCTTAAGTGGGTCCATTATGTGTGTGAGCAATTAATGGTAACCTCATACTAGATACACATAAACATACATTTGGAAATATAAACACACGCTTCAGTGCTGCATGTGATGTAATGAATATCAAAGACATGCATTTATAATCATTCCTATAATAACCAATGATGCTGTGAACACATTTATTAATTATGGGTCGCTGTCTGTTGATGTAGACGAACATGAGGAGGGAGTACTTTTTCTATAGCACCACCATGAAGGTTGCATTTGTGGTCTTGAGTTAAATGTATTAATGGCTTGCTACGAATTGTGACAACTTTGCTGTTCTCTGACTTTTCATTGAGCACCATAATCAGGAGAAATTTTTAATTTGTTCAGTAATTTGGTTTATGCCCAAATAACTGCAGTACAGTGACAGTCCTATCAATACTTTGTGCTTAGTGCTGTTAATTTGCAAATGTTAACATGATAACTACACTAAAATGGCGAACGTGGTAAACATATCATTATGCACATTAGCATTTAGCTCAAGGTACGCCTGTGCAGTCCCACAGAGGTGCTATAGTATGTCGACTCTTGTTAAATAGCCCGTGGCATGCTTTTCCTTCTTTCCTGACTTACCTACAATGTTACAAGAGTGAATTATCATTTTAAACCTGACCTAAAGCTCAAAAGATGAGGTCTATGTATGTTTTAGTACTTCTATGCAGAAGCAACTCCATTTATACACGGAGAAGTTACTAAATCTGCATTATACCGGTTAAAAAATAGGGTTTCTCAATTAACAGGACTGTACAATAATCAAAATTATTTAGTGTTACACATCTCTTTTCATTGGTACATATAGGGTTGTTTACCTATTTATGGAGGAGAAATTCAAACTAATTAATGTTGTGGTTCATCATACGGTTCATTTTTATATTGTGTCAGTTAGGATTTGAGGTATTGTCATTTTTGAAAACATAGGTTATTTGTAAGTGTTTTTTGTTCCCCTGTTGAGATGCGTTTCCCCTGATCAAAACTCGATTTCGCATAGTGACCCACTCAGTGGTCGTGGTTAGGATAATGCTAGGATTCAGGTTGGGGAAAACACATCTCGATGGGGAAACAGATTGACACAACACCGGCAGCAGGAGCTGTGCGCGTTCATGAATTATCATCTCGTTTATAGAAGAAGCTCTTGGGCTTTATCATTCTGAAATACTTACATTCTGAAATACTTACAGACTATTAATGGGTCCAAAGTTAATCTAGAGGTACCCAATATTAAACATTAAATTAGCATGTTATGGGCTCTTTAAACAGGGTTTACTGATAAGACCGAAAAAGAATGTATTGCAGGAAATAAGGGTACTCTGTTTTGAAGCGACGTGATTTGGGATTACAGTGATCTTTAAGCAAAAATCTATTCAAGTGACTCCATGGGAAAGGAATATCACAACATGTAACTGAATAAATACAAGTTCATTCAGAGGACACCTGGTCAGTGGCATTGCAGGAAGTTGTGCAGGAAGAGTACCTTACTGTCAAAACAAACACAGTCCAAGTGGAAGTGAACCACAAATCTGGGCGTTTAGCTCTTAAAAGCCACCTTCTTCAACCCTAATATAGCAACCCTTTTATAAACCACCATGTACTTAGTGCCTCTGGCTCCTGTTTAAAACCACTGCCTCTCTAATATGACCATCTAACTTCCCCTGATTACACACACTAGCAAACCACTTTGCCTGGTTAAGTGGTCCTGATGTGCAACACCAGAGTAGAGGGGAATCCTGTGGGAATTTCCTGAATACAAAAAGACCTTTTTCTCTTCTGCCAGATATGTGGGGTGGGGCATCCCTCATCTGTTGTTCCTACAGTGACAGACGGACCCTTTAAGAAGATCTGACAAATATACACAAGTGATCAGCCCACCTAAATGTTCCTCATACATGTGGTTTTGATGCCTAAGAAGTGTTTTTCCATAATAAAATGCCCAATAAGCCTGTGTTCATTTGTTACTTCTGAAAACAGCCAGTAACTAAATGCTCTCAGTCTATTTAGTAGCTGTATATCTAGTTATAAAATAGATACCCACAGTTAAGAGGTCTAATCTGTCAAAAAAAGATAAAACATGCTGGTGCATCCTGGTTGTGTAGGACCTTACAGTAGTACTTCCCAACAACAACAACAACAAATTTAAGCTACAATATGTGATATTGAAAAAATTAAGCCAGTGCTAACATGAGACTAGAATTAAATCACCTCTGCTCCGCCCAGCCCATCTCTCTGCTCATTGTGAAGGCTGAACAGGTCACACAATGTCACAGTTTAGAGAGAAACTCTGGGCTTAGCATCTGAAATTCAACTGGGCACTAAAATAACGTAAAGCCGTGCCTACACCACAAGCGGTGTGAGTGCAAAGTGTAGCATGGCATACAGCACATACCCATGTATGTACACCAGGCACACCCATTCACGCATTGGAAGTACTAGGTGTACAAAAAAAGCACATAAAGAAGTCTACATAAACACCACTTGAAAAGGGAAAACTATGGTCCATTCTATCAAAAATAGATCACATATTGTTCAAAAGTATGTCTGAAATTGAATAAAGCACATTGTCGAATGTAGCTATATTACTGCAGTAAATGATGGGAGCAGCATACAGCTGTATGCCCCACAGTGCACCGACGGTGGCCTTCTCTGATTGATTAGTGTGTAGTCCTGGTCAAAAACCTTTAGAAGGGAATATTTCTGCACTGCTGCCAGGCTGTTTGAGGAATCTGGGTCATAGGAGGAACTGATAGTCCCTCTCCACAGTAAGATCAATTTTGGGGGATGTTTTTACTAAAAGAAATATTTGAAAAAAAAAATTACACAACTTAAAAAATCAAATGTAAAGCTGCTATTATCTAACACCATCCAGCAGCACAGTGCGTCCAAAAAAACCAGGTGAGTTAGAATTTATTAAAAATCATTTTACTCCAGCGTGAAAACATATGGCAAGACACAGACAAAAAGCACTATACTGCAGTTTTAAACGCTCTACACAGAAGAACAGCATGACTTAGCATTTGTTCTATATCTGTCATCCATATTAATGAACTAAAACACCAACAATCCTTAGTGCTTTAAACCTACAAATACACATTTCTGTGAGTCAAAACAAACAAACAAACAAACAAAAAAAAAACAACCACCCCAAACTTCAAAAATTCAGGGAAAAGTGGTACACCTATATACCACCATTTCACTGAGTCATCAG